AAACTGTTATCAGTCTACTTGAGTATAATGTAAAGCAAAATACCACATTGCATGACCTCTGGTGTCAGAAAAAGACAAAATGGTGAATATCAGCTTTTGACATTTCTATATGTTAAAAACATAATTCTGCATTGTGCTTTTTTTCCTAATGTTTCCTATAGAGAAACCAGGAGGGATAAGCATAAAATAATAGAAGATATAAACTGTTTGGAAAGATTTCACTTTTGATACAAGCCTTATTTTTGCTCATATCCAAAATAAGGCATTATTTTTAATATTATTATTATTTTTATTTATTTATTTATTTTATTTTTTATTCATTTTTTTAGACTGCATGTGCTTCCACTTGATATTAATCTATTCCTTGTTTTTATTTTGGATATAGATAATCACACTGAGGTTTTATTAATTTTTAAGGAATCAGTGTACACTTAATAGTGTCATTATATTGCAAAAACTACATTCGTAGGATTGCAATGCTAACTGGCTTACCTTGATACTGCACAACACTATTGATTTTTCATATTTGTTGTGTAAAGTGTAATGAGAGTTTTTTTCTGACTACATATCTGTCTAAAGTGATATAATGAGGCATTTTGTTTGCTATGCTGAAGGGGATCAATTTAGAGTTATAATTGACGTGAAAAACTGATAATTGATATTGAAGTTGGGGAAACGGTAGGTGTTTTTAGTATACTTTATTCTTAACTTGGAGATTATGCATATCAAGCAGGTGTGTGTATATAATCTGGATAGCCAATTTAAATCTCACATTATTCCATTATCCTTAAATGGAAAAGACTCTAAGAGACAACCTTTCAACAGGGCATCTGGTAGTTGGTGGAAAAGAACTTATGAAGGTGACTATCTTCCAATCTTCACGGTTGACCATGCACCATTAGTTGAGTACCTGAGGAAAATTGGTACAATTGGTACAATGGACATTCCAGCTACCAACCAGCCCTTGCAACATGGACTAGATGCGATCCGAGGTTGGATTAATATTGCTAGTCCTGAAGTACTCCTGTGGAGTTTGTTCATAACTGCTTGTGTGATTACATGGACCAAAAGGGGAGTTAAACCCTCCATGTCATACCGGTCAGCCAAGCATGCTGGAGGAAGGCTCTGATGGTAGGTGGCATTTATTTGGGTTTTCTGAAGTAAGAGGTTGAAAGAGGGACAAAGAGCACTTTTTTTTTTCTTAGTCTTTAAAGTTCTTAGTCTTTTGTGATATTATTTATGTTTACTGATAGATTATGATTTTTTCTATTCTTTTTGTATATACTGAACAGCTTCTGAGAAATATGAATGAACAATCAAAAAAAGGGAGAAAAAAAGATTTATTTTCTTTGATGTCTGCTTTTTCTAGATAAATGAAAGCATTTATTCATTTTTATTTAGAACAGTTTTTTTTCCAAAAATGATGAAGTAGCCAAATAATGGATTCTTGAGTAACTTACTGTAAAGAATACTGGGAAGTTATATACATTATGAGGTATATTTTTGCAAGTTGTGATTTAGAGGATAACAGAGAATTAACAGAAACACAATGAAAATGTTTCAATGAGAGTGATGTGTTGAGATGAACATATATTCAAAGTAGAGTACTTTTAGCAAATGATGTACAACAACTCTCAGTTTTATAAACAATATTACAGAAGAATTTTATCAATAAGAATAATTTGGATAGTATATTGTTTATTCAGAAATGTGCTTGATAAAAAAGTCAAGTTTTATTCTATTTGATTCCAAAGATTGAAAAGCTTTGAGAGGAGTGGTTACAAATGATGGTACTGTTAGGAAATCCATAGCACTGTGATTGATATTTCACAAAGAAAATCATATGAGAAAATGTTTGTGGTACTTAAATGTGTAAGAATTTTAAACAGCTAATGTAAAATACCTGAAATTTTATCAGTGATAGGGACTGTTGTGTATGAAGGATTTGTATTAAGATCGTCTGTCACTCTTTATTGATAAGACACTTTTAGCTACAGTCATATAGCTATAATGCAGACAATGCAGTACTTGTTTTTCATCTCACAGAAACCTAATATTAAACAGAGATCAGGAGGGCATGAGTGATCCATGTAATCACTTCATAAATACGTGGTGTGGCTTTGTTACTGTGGCCTTTAGTGGGTCACCCTTGTACATATTCTGTCCAAGGTGTCGAATTTGCAGTCAAGTAAAGAAGACATTGCTATGTTACACAAACTTTTTTTTTTCTTTTTTTCACATACCTCATACCTAGATATTATAGCACTCTAAAAGAAAACAGTACAGGGAAGTTTAACAAACACAATATAGCCCTTATTTTTTGCATTCAGAATATCATATGTAATGTTAATTGTTATATTGTTTGCTAACAATTTCTTTCTGTTTTTGCTTATTGTGAAGCTTTGTACAAATATAGCTTTATAGGTAATAGTTTCAATAAGTTTATTAGCATCAGATCATTTGTTTCCAGTACCTTCATTTCAGTTTTCATTACTTTATATTCAGCTGAATGCCAGCTTTTTATTTAAATAATATTAATTACCTTTAAGTGCAATCCAGTCCCTGCTTAGAATCAGACAATGCTACTAACTGATGTCTAATTCAGATTTTGTTCACCCTCATAATTTCTCTCGTGAGGATTTATGGCCTTTGGAGAGCTCTCTGTTATGGGACATTGTAGGGAAGATATATTTATATATCTGTATTTATTTGTTTGTTTTGTCTGAATGATAAAGCAAACTGTTTAATTTGTTCTGGGCCTTGATTAAGTACTAAGTGGCAAAAGCATTCCCACTTTGATGTATGTCTGTTAAAAGTCATGTAACCACATCAAAGAATCTCCAGCATATAAATGAGAAGTCATTTGTAAACTTGGTTTTCTTATTACTTATTAAATATCAAGGCTACTTATAATGACTCCTTCAGTGAAAAATAAAGAGGGTTAAATCCCAGATGTGACCATAGTAAAATAAATGGCCAGAGGTGTTTATTTTACTTGAAAATCAGCTTTTTATTTAGTATCATTTTTGTGTTTTGCATTAGCTATAAATAAGTACCACATGAAGATTGCTGAAATATTAGCTTGCAAGTGAAATTTATATACTATAGTTGTATTTGATTATTTTCATCAGCTTCATATGCAGGCACAGATTGTAAAAGATTATTATACAACAGTATTTTGTTGCTAAAAAATCTTACCACTGAAACTATAGGGAGATCGTTTTTTGTAATCTAAAAGGTAAAAGGAATTGCCCAGTAAAGCAGTTTGTATTCTGCTCTAAAGATGTTTTTATATAGACATTAATGCTAAGTCATTTTGTATCATTGCATTGTGGTTACAAAGTACCATTCATTGACAGTGATGCAAATTATTCTTTTCTTTTGGAAACTCTATAGATATGCTGTTATTGATAACACATAGGAGAGTTTGAAGCAACTTTTCTTAGTCCATAAAAAATGAACAATCAAAATGACATCATATGCAAATTTCTGTACTAGTTGAAATTGGCCAGATTTTCTGCTTTTGCATACTAAGACTTAGTTGCTAGTATGAATTATATTTTTAGGTCATTCAGTCAATGTAATACTCGCACATAAGTGACTTACCACTGATTACATATTTTACTGATATGCATAAAATTAACTGCCAATTATACTGATTTTTGTTAGCATAGTTCATTGCTTTTGGAACTTCTGTAATAGGTTTAGGTGCATTTATAACAAACTGAATGATGATTTGTGTTTTCCCATTACCAGTACTAATTTTTTCTTGGTGTTCATTCTGGTGGAGTGTTATTTATGATTTTTAATATACAGTTCTTTTATAGATGCCATCATGTTGAAGTGAGTTAATAATGGACAGTGCTTACAAGAATTCATTGTCATATAGTTTTTTTTAGTATTAGATGTCACAATAGAATTAATATAATTTTGGTTGTATAACCTTGTATTATTGAGTTTATTATTCTTGATATAGTCGTAAATAAAGGGTTGGAGAAACTTAAAAGAATATCATAATATTGGTTGATGGCTGATATACTTTGTATTTTTGCTGCATTGTATGAAATGGAAAACTACTAAATTAGTGACCACATAACAGCAGCTAGGTTGTCATAAATCAGCCTGAATGAATTACCTCACATAACTATAGACATACCAGCATTTGAATTTTTGTTCTGTGTAACAAAAGAGGGAAAACATTGCTAGTTTCTATACTGCCAGGCAGCTGATTTTAAAATATTAAAGAGATCATTCATTTCTAAAAGATTTAATGTAGTTTCTCCTATCTGAGTAGTGGACTTACAAAAGTATAGTAATACTGGGAAAAATAGTGAATGTGTAATATAATAAACAACATTGGTATGAGGAGGTTTTAATAGAGTGTTAGGTATCATGGTCTGAAAATTTTAGTATATTGACTAGAATTTATTAAATGTTCATATGAGAGAATCACAGTAATTTGCAGTTTTGGAAGGTAAGAACCAAAATAAACTAAAGAGAATCCCATATATACCCATGATGGTAAGGCCCTTAAATATCATACTTTTAGAATTTAGACAAATAAGTAGAATTTTAAATTTGAAGATGTAATTCAGAAAAGTCCAAGATATTTGTGTGATGAAATATGTTTTGTTTAAATTTACATTTTCACAGTGAAGAAGAGTAGGTGTCTCCCTTTATATGTGTTTTAGATAAAAAGTAATAAGATTGAGAAATTCAGTTAAAATGTACAGAAATTAAATATATCAAGTAGGAGGTTAGCATATTGATTTGATAACAAACCTATACAATAAAACTGAAATTGATACTAAGTAGGATTGATCATGAAATATGTATTAATATATGGATTTTTTAGAGCTATTTGAATAACAGACAGTATTAAAAAGGATAATAGAAAACAATATTGATGAATATCTGACAATATCTTCCTCATTTACAATTGTTCTATTCATTTTGAGAAAGGAGGATATACTATATTTGTAGTTGGTTTTGTAACTGATAGTAGTGAATTAGTAAATAGCAGTGCATATTGTGAAGTGATGAAAATACTGATAAATACTTAAAATCAAAAACAATTTTGTGTTGTGATCAAATTTAAGTTTAGATGACAGCTTTTGGATGTAAGATTGAGTCTTTACTTGGGGTTAGCTTTGCATGCCTGCCTTTGAAAAATGTACTTGGAATATACTTCATATTTTATCATGGTTTGCTGTTTCAAATTGCATACTTGAAGATAGCTCACTGTTTTGAAGATGCTGTAGTGGTTGATATTGAAATACAAAACTGCTAATGCAGTTTTCCTAACAAGTAGATTCTGCACTATCTGATCTCATGGGTCAATAGCTTGGCCTTTAGCACAGGAGTTAGTTTTTATTATACAAGAAAGTTTCTGTAGGTGATTAGTCCATTTTTGCTGTCAGAACTTATATACCATCAGTATTTAGCATATGATGTTGTAGTGTTCACATTTGATATTGAAGTGTATGATTCTGTGGAAAGTGCAGATTTGTGGTAACTAGGAAAAAAAAAAAACAAGATGATTGTCTTCATACTTTTTATTTAGTGCATTTAGAACATAGAGCACTAGACGAGAAGAACTGTGCTTAGAGAAGTGACAACCCAATTTTGTTTAGAATATGAGATGAATTTTATGTTTTTGTGTAGCAAAGGTTTCCATGTCTTCCTAAAGCTTATGTAACTTGTGCTGCAGTGTTTTCCCTCTAATGTTGCATAGCATATTATCATCATGCATTTTTATTGATAGTTTTATGCACTGGGTAATTACTCACTTTGTTTTCCAGAAGGTTATTTAAAAGTAAAAATTATTATTTTCAGACAGTTTGTTGATATGAAGGTAGATATTCAAGAAATAACTCTTTCCTTATATTTCTATATTGTTTTACTGTCTTTATTTACGGTAAGATAACATTTTGGTGCTTAGTTGGATGTGATAACTTTTTTCTTTCATTATTTTTGTGTATTAGACTGATTAGGAGAGGCATGTATGTGTTAAACAATATAGTGTAATTTTTAATAGCTTTTTTATGAAAAAATTATGTTCAGCCTCTTACAAGTTAATGTTTAACAGCTCCCTTTGAGTTTCATTAAAAAAATAATCTTAACAAAGAAAAATGCCACTGGATGGAAAGACGTTTAGGTCAGTACATTTCTGTATTTTTTTCTTTTTTAATAAGATTTCTCTCATTTACATATAGTTTGCCACTGAATCTATCAGCTTATTCAACCTTATCGTTGATAAAAGCACTGCAAGCTGCCAATTTATACAGAACATTTATGGTAAAAAAATAAGTATAATACTATTTAGTGTAATACCCTGATAAAAACATATCCATTCTATTTTATTCAATACAGAAGACCAAAAACCAAAATGCCTAGATAAGCTTTAAAATTTTATAGATTTTTTACCTTGTAAGATTCATATGCTACAGAACCATAGACCAAAGATATATTTTCATACAATGCCTCCCATTAAAGGCTGGTAATAATAACTGATTAACATTTTCTTCCTCTTTCATTAAATGGAACACTAAAAGATAAATTTCAAAAAGTTGTTGAGAAAGGTGTATTAACTAACAAGCATCAAACCATGATTTATTACAAGGTTATTGTCACCGGTTTATATATCTATTCTTCTGCACAGCAATTTATTAAAAGTGTAGATGCAGCCTCTCTACTAAACAACATATCAATAGCTATACAGCAATTTTAATTTCAATTATGATAATCGTCACCAGTTATGATATTTTAAAATTATGCTCTTCCTTCCATTGGTGTTTTCTCCAGAATGTTATTTCCTATGCATGGTGTACTGTGTTTACATCATTGTTTTACTGTTACTGAAAACATCGAGCTAATTTGATAATATTTTGTTTGCTACAGTGTTAAGAATAATTTATGTTTTGTTTTGGAGGATTGAGTAATAATAAAAAAATAAAAAAAATACTGATATTTTAATCCTGTATTTCATTAAAGTTTAGAAATACAAAATGGATGTACTTCATTATTAGTGTTTGGCCATCAAATGGTGGCAGTGAAGAATTGATTTAGCTTTTCTTTGTGACTTATTTAATATTTTCTTTCACAGCTTGTCAGCTTCAGTGGTTGAGGAAAGATTTGTTGAATCATTATGGTATATTGCTGGTTTGCTTAATGAGAATTGTAGAAATGTTTTTTCATTGTTTTAGAATTAATACAAACATTTTAGAAGTTAATAGCATTTTTTTACTTTGTTGATTCAGATTTGCAATTCTGCTACTTTGTAACTAAAAGTATTTTCTGAGAGTACAAGATAAAAAGAATTGATTAATTGTTAGATTCTGCTTTATAATGAGACTGACTTAGATATAAGTTTTCTTTTTTGCAGGAAGTTGTCTTTTTTCCTAAGCAACAGAAAAGAGAAATCGTAATAACCTGATAGGTATGCTTGAGTGTGTGCGGTGCTGCATTTCAGTATATGGTAATAAAACTTTAGATAAAAATTGAGGCATATTATTTATCCCTCAGCTGAATTTGTTTGTGTTCAGCTGGCTTACTGTACTGTAATCACTTTTATTCAGCATAATTTAGTGGTAATTCCATTTTTTTTTCTTGTAGATACAAGAAAGAATATAATACTCATGTTTCTCCCTGGGTTTGAATTATGGTATCACTAAATCATTGAATAAAATCTGATTATGTCTTAAATGCGAATGAAATGATATGGACTTTGTAAATAAACCTGCTGCTTAATGAGAAGCTAAGCCTCAAAGTGTGATTAAAATGCTTGATGTAACAAGTTATGTTATCCCTCTTGCATTTAAACATTTGCTTGATTCAGGGATTGTGGCAGCAGTGTGACTCAATGTTTTTGACATGGATACTAGATTTAACAAGTTCACTACACTGACTATTTTTATAAATAGTCCCTTAACACAATACTAAATGAAGGTACTAACTGAAGGGTCTTAATAGAAGTATAAGAAGTATACTATGCAAAATTTTACAACTCTTATTTTTGGAAAACATGCCTTTTACCAAGTGAACATTAGTAATCCATGGCAGTTTTCATTACTTTTCATATTAAGGTCCAGTTGTAGCATCCAGTTGGTGACAGTGATTTTCATCTTGAGAATTATGCTATTTGAGTGTCCTCATTTTGTAGATTGTCCTATAAACATGATAACAGACATTGAAAAAACTACTGAATCTCATAGTACTTCCTAGATGGTATGAATCTATAAATCTATCAATTTATTAAGAGAGAAGTGATTTTTACAGTCATAACAACAGAAATCCCACAGTACATACAAAATAGTTATGGAACCTTAATTATTAGGAAAACAATTCCTGTAATGTTCTCTTGTACCTAATTAACATTTTCAATCCTTTAATTTTTTTCTTAGTTCATTTCCTGATGTTAGTTTAGTGACTGCATGTATGGAAGACATATATCTTAAATATAAATATAATTTGTTACATTTATTGAACATTAGACCTCTGCAGTGCTTTTTACTAATGAGGTTTAAAATTTAGAATCTCTTAACACAGCTGCAGAAAACAATTAATTTGTTTAGATTTTTTTACATTATATATACTATCACTAAATCCTATTTTGCAGTTTGTTTTTAAATACAAAAATAAGAATGTAAAGTAATAGCCTTTACAGAACTCAGGATATAAAATTGAAAGTAAAAAAAAAAAAGTTTAAAAAAGATATGACTGAACCCCATTTCAGAACATAGGATCCGTGTCTAAATGTGTCTAAGTAAAGTGTAAAAGGAAGTCCCTGCAGCTGTTTGTATTTCCTGTAATTGACATTCATAAAATTGGTTCCATTAGTCAATCATTGCATTCTTGTACTTGATTTTTTTATGGGGATTACTTATAACACCTATATACTACAATTCTCTCACAGAAGATTGGTCATAAATATCACATTTAACTAAGAAAGATTGCTTTTTACTTCTGCCCTTCACCCATTTTATACTGCTAGTGCTGTGATAACAGTTTTGAAGAAGTATTTAATCACACACTGGTACATCTGATTTTCAAGATAAATTTCCCTTATCAAAAGATTTTACATAATGCATCAATATGGCATCAATATTAATATTTAAGGTGACTGGTTCTCTATTATTAAATACTCTTGTATCGATATATAATTTCTATATTTCATTACCCCGATTTTTTCTATATTTGATCTTATAAACATGACAAACGAGCAGGAAGAGGACAAGAAGCTCAAGTGAATAAGAACCCTTTATCATCGTCAGTGGAGGCATCTGTGGCATGTTGCTATGATCGATGAGTATGATAAGTGGCGCTGATGACATTTAAAAGTAAAAAAGCACACGGCTAAATATGGTGGTTGTCCTTATCTCTCATATCCTGCGATAAACTACTACGGGCGAGATTACAGTAGTCAGTACAACCGCTATTCGAATATGACGTAATAAATTGTCACTCATAAATTTTATGATGCCCTCATGGTCACGACATATCCTCAGCGGAAGATTTGGGGTATTTCGAGACACGCATATAACTACAGTTGCTCAAAGTGCCGGTTGCATACTCAGATATGACACATTTCCGCCAAAGAACAGGATATGAATGGAAGCAAACAAACAAAAGATGCACATCCACAAACACGTCCAGTACTGACTGATTATGTATAAATCCGCTAGTCTCTATAAACGTATTTGTAAAATAATCGTATTTTAACAACTTTTGAAAACACTATTAATCATAGTAGTCCATTTTTCTACAACAATGTACTCAAATATGCCCATGAACGAGTATTCTCTGACACGTCCCAGTAAACAGCAGTCTTATCAGAATGATGTCACTCTTTCGTCATCGAGGTCTCGTATAACGCGCTGGTATTAGTCGCCACTACTTTTTCATGGTCTATCCGCAGACACAGTGCTATAATACAATATGAACTGAATGTTGGACGTCTTTTCGTGTTGCATATATAGCAATCAGATTGACTTCCTTAGTAGTAATTTTATTACAAGTAAACAATTCGTTGATTATTTTGTTTGCTAATACAATGCTTTATTTTTAAAGAAATAATTTTAACCTGTTTTTAAGTTCACATATATAATAACTAATCCAGCTCAATATCATTTTTTGAACAGCAGTAAGTGAACCTAGCAACCACGTTACAGTTAGAACAGTTGCTGTTAATCAATTCTCTTGTCCAAGGCTTAAACCCTGATTTTGTCTTGACTGTATCTCGCATTTGTCGCTATACGTATTAAAATTTCCAGGACGAGGTTAATATCAGAAGTAGCCTAAGATAAATAGCAAAATCCCTTCCTCAGCAAGTGGACCTCTTCTCTTATCAGTGTGAAATGTTATCTTTTAATCTGATATCCGAATCTGAAGCAAGCAACTCTTATCTCCGGAAGTTTGGCATCAGAAAAAAATAGGTCGGTCATTTGAATTACTCATGCGGTTGCTCGTTCCTGGTTTCTCAAGAAGCGTAACCCAAGAAGAAGCGTATATACAAGGGGAGTGGGGATGTGCGGCTGAGCTGATTTTATTAGGTGTTCTGCCTCGCACTCAGCGATCCTGGAAAAAGCTCAACCGATTTAGTATGTGACCTTCAGCTTGTTGCAATTTTTCAGTGATAATACACTTGGTTTCCTGATAATACTTAAACTATGTATTTGGCAATGTCGCGTGTACGGAGTACACGATAATCCGTCATAAAATTGTTTATCTCTACTGTTGGCATCAAACACAACTTTCAAGTCTTCAAACTTATTGCATAACGGCCTTCATGATTTCATTTATGAACACCTATTGTCGACGGGACTCTTAATCGACAAGGACGGATATGTAGGAAAACACAAAACCTCTTTTTTACTGAAGCGAACACACCAGTGTTTCTGTTTTGACAATAAAAAATGGATTTTCGAGAGAAGCATCTGAAATATATATATATTTTTTATAAAGTGGCGATGTTGCCAGCGCTACAATACACTGGCTATAGTCTATTGTCTATATTAAGAGCATGCAATTAGTGTCACTTTCATCTCTTGTCAGCCACTCCCTTGACTCTTTATACAATATTGTATTATATTATCACAGACGCTCCATACACTACGAAAATAATAAAATGAAGCGTATCTTTGTTACCTCTTAAACTTCCCCCTGAATCTTTGATAAACCATTTGGAAAAAAATCATTCTCTACCATGTTTTTATCGTCTAACTGCTAAAATCATAAAGTTATACAGTAAGAGACGGCTGACGGTAAGGGTGTGAAGGCCAATTGCTTTTTAATATTATGTGAAAGTCTAAAGCTTATATGCCAGCATAGCTATGGCATCCTTAAGCATGGGTAACTTCATGGCTTGCGTAATTAACTAAACATTTTTGCTTGTTTACAATTAGTTACGATTAAATGCTGATAGGAAGAACAAAACTCAATGCCCATCGATGCCACCGGCAATGACGTGGCAAAAGGTGATGCTGGTGATAATTTTGGTTAAGTATGACCAAGGTATTTCGTTATTGTGTGTGTGTGTGTGTGTGTGGTTAAAGCACTCGGCTCTGATCCTCGCGGTCCTGAGTTCTTGCCGCGGCAGTTGCAAAATGCTTGCGCTCCGACAGCTGGCTCGAGCACACTTACGGCGAGAGAACGACATATCCCCCTGAGAGGTCAAGCGCAGGTGTCAAAGGGGCAGTCGCCGCCGCCGTGTCACAAGTGCTGGTGTGGTGAACCGCGGTTTGAATGGAAAGGGCACTCACTTCGGCAGGGGCGATACTGCCAAGCAACTTCCTAATAATGAATTTACAGAGCCCAAGTTCTACAGTGGAATGACTGGTTGATTAATAATAATGATAATAATAATATGTACACATAGATGTCACATGAAGTACATACATTCATACACCCACACCCGCACTCACTCTCTCTCTCTCTCTCTCCACACACACACACACACACACACACATATATATGTATATATATATATATATATATATATATATATATATATATATATATATATATATATTATATATAGATATACGTGTATGTGTGTGAGTGAGTGTGTATATATGTATATAGATATATGTGTGCGTGCGCCTACATACACAAGCAGAGGCGTAGCTAGACAAAATAGGGGCCCGAATTATATCGTCATTTGGGTAAAATAATGACATGTGATATTTTATTTATACATATATTTAATTATTCTTTAAAAAAAGTAAAAGAGTAACAGAATTAACAAGAAATTATGTTTACTTTTTGCGTATTACTTTTATTATGGATTACAGTAAATAGAAAATACATCTACACTGTATACAGAATATTGTTGCATTTTAGCAACAAAATCATCAATTACGTAATTCAGAAATTATACACAGTTCAATTTTATTTAGATACTCAGCTTCCTAATGTCTTTTGTGAGGAGTCATAGGGTGGAGGGTGAATTCCTCTGGAGGACCTGGTGTCAGCAGCATATAATTTAAAGATGCTTACATATC